CCAGAATTGTACGCAGACTTCTATTTTGCGTTTTGTCTAGTATCTGTTTATTGGAATGGGCTGCTGTTATCCATGACGATGATGCGTATTCGAGAGTTGGTCTGACTGTGCCGGTGTATACCTGCTTCAAGATACAACTGTCTGCTCCCCAAGTGGTGCCTGCCAATTTCTTCATCACACCTTGTTTTCTCATAGCTTTTTTGTTAGTTTCTAGTTTGTGATGTTTCCATGTCAGACGACTGTCAAGCTTGACTCCCAGGAAGGTTGGAGTATTGGAGCGTGGAACAGCATCATTGTTGAATTTTAATGTAAACTTTTCCTCCTTTGTAGACAATGAGAAGAGTGTTGCTACAGTTTTGTTCCTGTTTACTTCGAGGCCCCATTTGTTAGCCCAGTTTATGAGTGCTCTGTTATGATGCTTTATGTATTTAGTTTATATTTTATTTATACATTACTAAGTGGTTCATGTTCATTTGTGATTTATTTTGGGAATATTTTAACAAGGTTTTCTTAGGCACCATGGCGGTAAGTTAAAAAAATATTTCATTTTACTAATTTCTGTAAACACACAGACTGTTTATTTACTAATATTTAACTATTAACAAAATTGTTTGTTGTAGCAGTATTCTGTTATTATTCCTCGACAATCCTTGATCACTTTGATGTATAAAATGTGTATGTTGCATGGCAGCCGAATTCATATAGTATGTTTTAATGTAATTAACTTGTAAAATTAAAACAGTGCATTACCATTCCTTGGGCCTCTGATGCTAAACCCCCTTGGACGCAAAGAGTCAAAGCCTTGAGATGTTTTTTGGCTTCTGGCCATGATTTTCTGATGCATTTTCCAGGTAAGGAGACTGGAGTCCGTGGTTTCATTGATAGGCTACTGAGTAATGTGCTTTAGGCAGCACTGTGAGCTGTGTATTTTATGTTGAATGGCTTTTGTTTGTAATGATATTCAGCAAATCATGGATGGCCAGTTTGGGTTGCCATGTAAAGCATCATTTCTAGCATTCTGACTGGCAATGTGCCTAATGCAATAATATTGTGTGTGCTCTTGCCAGCTTTTTGGGACTGACTACTTCCCTTAACTCTTTGAGTCCCAGGGGGTTTAGCATCACTGGCCCAGGGAGTAGTAAAGAGAGTCATAAAATCAGTGCAACTTGCATTAATTGGGCTTCTAGGTATGAACCTATGATGCGTTCCTTGGGACTCAAAGAGTTAATGATGAAGTGCAATTCTAGTGACAGAATGTTAATACTGGTACCTCTAGCAGCTGCTGAATACATTTGCTGCAGTATATGTTTTTGGATTTTGCTGAGATTAATTTCTTTGTTCATTAGTTTTCAAGGGGAGCGGTGAAGGGCATTTCACATGATTTTCATTCACGCAGAAACAGAGCATCTGTGGGGTGACCTGTCTGCAAATAATGACTTCTTATAGATATAGATCCATGATTCCCAAAGTAGACAGATAGTACAACCCATCTGTGTAGTGGGCAGAATCAGGGGAAATGAGGTACAGAAAATACAATATGATCACTACTAGGGGAGGGAAAAGTATTATCAGGTATGGGAGAACTAAGGACATGGTTTAGGACACCGGGGATCGGCAGACTTAAACAAGTTTGGGGCCCACTGAAAGACATTTTTGCTGTTGGTTTCCTTGCTATAATTTCTTCAGCATGTTCACTGTGACTTTGTTTATATTATTAATTTAAGCACGACAGTTTATATAGGTGAAAATATGGGGGTGATTGCAGTCAAGCTAAAGCTAAAGCTCAACACCCATTAGTTTAGTGTAGTTTGACAAAGGCGCCCTGGCTGAAACGTCCCATTATTTGTGTTGTTAGTGGACATTTTTCTGCTTCCCCATTTTGTTGAGCTTTTTAGTCACATTTCTCTGGAATTCTCAGTTTAAGTAGAAATATTTGCATAGGCATATGATATTCAGAAAAATAAATTTTTCAACTGTCATTTTAGACATGAAAAAGAAACAAGGTGAAATGAAGCATGACATACATTTTCAATGAACTTTTAACTTTAAATCTGTGATAAATGACTATCAAATAAAAGTAATGGAGACTGACTTACTATCCACTTTCTGAACTTACTTGTACCATAAGGTCAGACAACTGGCTCCCAGTGTTGGTGGCAGCAGTGGAGACTGAATACTAACAATGGTGTTCTGTGGGTATGTTTTGCTATCAGCAAGGAGATATTGTCCTATGGTAAAGAAAATATTCAGCTGAAGCCATCAGCTTGCACTATTACAAAAGAGGTAATTTAAAATAACAACTGAAATTCTATTCATATCATGGGATAGAAAGCAAATTTCAACTTTCTCTTTCATGTCCTCTATCATTTACAGAACTAGCGTGACTTCTAGAGTTTTCTATAATTGTTTACAGTGACAGACATAACATTGTTTGGCTGTTTGTGAACAACTGTTTACAGTGACAGACATAACATTGTTTGGCTGTTGGTGACTTCACTAGGTAATTTTATGTTCAGTAGTTTGCTTTTGCTTTCTGAATGGTCAGCTCTCGATACCACTGTCATAAGCAATGCAAGGCAGTCTGCTGTCAAATTACTCACAGATGAAATCAAACCCGGGACCCCAGTATGACAATAAAGTTCAACTTTATTATTAATTATTATTTTTATTATTATTATGATATTGAAGGAGTCAAGTATATGCACCAAGTATCAAACAAAAATGTCAGATTTATTTAATATAATGTTATGAAACTTGCGATGTACAATCACACACGACACACTTATTTGTCTATGTCTCTTATTTTGTCTTTATTCCTTCAATGGACTATAGGTCAACTCAAGCCTTTCCATCCTTTGCTGTTTCCAGCACTTCTTGTTAATCTTCACATTATATCATTTATTCAGTCATCTGTCTGTTGCCATCTCTTGGCTGCAAAGGATCTGTGACAAGTTCTACTCTCTTAGACTGCTTTTTTGCCTATCTCTTGATGTTGTCCTTCCATTTGTAACATTGTCTACATCTTGCTCTTTTGCACTCAATTTTTCCAGCCAGTGTGGTTTTTAAATTTGTGTTATGTCTTTTAATGAGGCCAAATTAGTTCCATTGTCTCTTTGTTTCTTTATTTTAGTAAGTCTATTTTCAATTGTAGTCATATTTTCGTATTATTCACTACCTTCTTTTTTTTTTTAAAGTTTTTTTAAATGTGTCTTTGGGGTTCCCTCCATTTCATTTGCTTCGTGGGGCCACCAGAGAAAATATTTTCTAGTTAAACTATTAATATGTTTTCTGAATGTGTATTCTATCTGTCCCTCACACCTTGACTAACTGGTAACTTGTTTAGTCCTCTTAATGAACTCCTTAATTTAATTTATTTTTAGTCTCTCTATTTTTCCCCAGCATCAGTTTATGAATGTATGTGATTTAATGGTTACTGTTTTAGGTCTCTAAATTTCTGATCCACACTGCAGAACTGACTGTGGGATTTACTGAGAAGGGGACCCGAGCACTTATGGGCTGAATGGTTTGATATGCAATGAGAATAATTTGTCAACTAATTACCTAACAATTCAGTTATGACTTGAAGAATGAGAAGTTTGGCATGACTGTTGGGTAAATGTCCTGATGTGCCACAGGGCTCTTCACTCACTATCATCTTTTTCAAAATTGTGGCCAAGATTCATCTCCATGGCCTGGATAACATTCACAAATGACAGATTTTTTTACATTTCCTCATGAATACATCTGTTGGAGAGAAGTATGGAATAGGTGTTAATGACACTTGTGGCGGCTATTCTAAACGGTAGGTAACCAGTCCACAACATGCACCATCAACATATGCCATTTTTGACTGTTAGGGAAGACCCAGTGCTGATGGGCCTGCACCGGTGCAGCAACATCCATTCTACATCATCATATTTGAAATACATGATATCCTGCTCAGCTAAAAGCTTAGTTTCGCCAATACTTTTTGATACATATGTTATCCAACGGTATAATGGCAACTGGCGGACATCTTCTTTCTTGATTTATTATTGGCTCTTCCCTTTCAACTTTTCTGTTGTCATGATACATTATAGTTTTTCCCTTCTCATGACATGCCCAAAGAATGTCGGTTGACTTTTTTCTCTTCATATGGTTAATTAATTCCTTTCTTTCTTCTTCTCCCCTCTTCCCCTTTTTTTAAAATAGGTAATGAAATACCTTCATATGTCCATAGTGTTCTCTTCTCAGCATTCTTCCTTAAAACCACATAATTTTAGTGTATACATAATGTTTCATTCATCAGTATACTGTCCATGATTCCCACCCATGCACCAGGATTGACTCTATATAGCTCTTAAAAACTCTTCAGTTGATAAAGATTGGCTGCATAGAATATTCTTCATCCTGTGAATTGCTGCATTTGCTTCAGCTATTCTACATTGAACTTTATTGATATATCTTCCTTCTGCAGTTATCAGGGCACCTAAGTACTTAAACATATCAGCTTACTCCAGTCTTGTCTCTTTTACTATGATGTTGCAGTATTTCCTGAAGTTACAATATTTCCTTAAGAGTTACAATATTTCCAGAAGAGTTACAATATTTCCTGAAGAGTTACAATATTTCCTGAAGAGTTACAATATTTCCTGAAGAGTTACAATATTTCCTGAAGAGTTACAATATTTCCTGAAGAGTTAAATATTTCCTGAAGAGTTACAATATTTCCTGAAGAGTTACAATATTTCCTGAAGAGTTACAATATTTCCTGAAGAGTTACAATATTTCCTGAAGAGTTACAATATTTCCTGAAGAGTTACAATATTTCCTGAAGAGTTACAACATTTCCTGAAGAGTTACAATATTTCCTGAAGAGTTACAATCAGCAAGCAGAAAAAAAACAGATCTTCAACACAGCAAAAACAGTTAGTTTAGAGTGACTGGCTCGAACTATAAACAATGGTGGTGGCTCCCTGACATTAAACATGGTTACAAAGGTTTCCTATTTGACTTACCACTGCCACCGTTGTGATCGAAAGGTATGGCTCCACCAGTTTCTGTCACCACAAATGTGTACTTCCATGAACCCACTACGGACCAGTCACACATAGTGCCATCATCAAAGTTACAGTCGGGCAACATCAAAACTGCAGATTGAGATGAGACATTTAACAGATAGTGGCTTATGAAAATAGTGGTATAAAAATTAACTCTTTGAGTCCCAAAGAATGCATCAGACGTTCATAGGATCCCGCCTAGAGGCCCAATAAATGCAAGATGCGCTAATTTTACATCTTTCTTCACTACCCCTTGGGCCTCTGATGCCAAACCCCCTGGGACTCAAAGAGTTAATTAAACTGTTCAAATGCCATGCCTTTACCTGCTGTAAATATGCTGAGCTACATTACCAGGTTTTCTTCTACAAGGCATTCTCTCTCTCTCTCTCTCTCTCTCTCTCTCTCTCTCTCTCTCTCTCTCTCTCTCTCTCTCTCTCTCTCTCTCTCTCTCTCTTTCTCTTTCTCTCTCTCTCTTTCTTTGTCTATCTCTCTCTTTCTCTCTCTCTCTTTCACTCTCTCTCTCAGTTTGATGTTTAATGTATGAGGTAGTTACAAGTGTAGTTCATTTACATATATTGTAAAAAGTGAGACATCTTTTGAAAAAAAAAAAAATGCAAATATGAATACCCCCCCCCCCCCCAAGTGTAAAACACAGACACACACACACATATGCACGCACACATGCAAGCACACACACACAAACACACTCACACAACAAGCAGATGAAATCATAGATCATATTTTGGAACACACAAATTTGCTGTGCCATATGAGATTCACGGAGCTGCCATGGTGTGGTGGCTAGATGTTCACCAGCTGATCTAAAGGTCATGGATTCAAAAATGGAGGTCAAAATGACCTTGGCTCCTAGGTCAACCAAGTCTTAAATATATACCAGGTAAATTCCTGGGAAGCAAATGTGGCCAGTGTGATGCTGACTACATCATCCATTGAGTGTCAATTATTCAAAAAATTTTAGATCTAGCACTCATCATCATCATCATGTAGCAGGTCCTTTGCAGAGCGTCACTCTTATCACAGTCTGCCTGAAAAAAACTCGGTCTCTTGCCAGTTCTCCCGCCCCATGAACTTTCACACTCAAGGAGTCACTTATATCCTGTGCCCATCTTCATGTCGGTCGGCTCCTGCCCCTCCTTCCTGCTACCATGCCTTCTGCTATAATTTTTTCCAATCCGTCGTGGCGCTTGATATGACCAAAATATTTCAGCTTTTGAGAAAGGATGCTGTTTATTAGCCAATCTTTCTTGACGTTCAGATCTTTTAAGATGTAAATATTTCTCATCTTCTTTGTCCAAGATATTCTGAGAATCTTTCTATAACATTTCAGCTCAAAAGCCTCTATTCTCTTTCTCAAGGACTGAGAGATAGTCCACGACTCACATCCGTATGTAGCCACAGGGAAGATGCATGCTCTCAAAATTCTAATTCTGATCTCCTTGCTGGTGCTTAACCATAGACTTTTAAGGCTGTTCAATCTTTGCATTGCTATGGCCATCCTCCTTTTAATTTCTGTCGAACAGTCAGATCTAGCACTATATGCCCAATATGCAGGAGGGCATTGAACAGGCTTTACTTCATCTTAATCATCATCAGGTGCCTTGCTGACAGGGGTGGGCTATCATGCCTCTCCATAATCTGCAATCTCCTGCAGCGTGTATCAGTTCGTGTGCTGACACACCTCCATGCCATGCAGCAAGACTGTCAAGAATCTTCTCTCGTTGTCTTCCTCCTTCCATAGATCTTTCCAGTTGTCACAACATGTTCTATTTTCCCTCTTCTCATAACATGGGCACAAAAAATGACTCTTTCTGATGTTTGTAATAAGTTTTCTTCAGGCTCCTGTCTCTTTCAAAACCTCTTGGTTGCTCTTTTTGGTTGTCCAAGATATTTTAAGTATTCTTCTGTAAAACCACATAGGTTTTACTTATGAGGTTCAAAACTGAAATATTTAATACGTTAGATTTAATGCAATTATTACATAGGAAATGGCAAGGGACGGCATGTCTGTCAGGAAGAGGCTGATGGAAAGGCCTGACATGTAACTTAAGCAGACGCTCAGAGCAGGCTTTGAAACATCAAAGTGGCTGTCCCACATGTTGAGTTGCTTGAATCATTTGATAAGAATTGTTTCAGGACATTTTCATTTTATTTTTAACAGAACACATAAAATATTCATACTTTTTATTATATATTTTACACATACCATTTTTCTAAAATGGTGGCAAAGCAATCAGATTGCAAGACAAATGACTTGACAACTTTGCCACTGAGACTCTCGTATAATCATGTAGAAAAACAAAAAAACTAGATGAGAATAAATCAAAGAATTTACCATCTGCTGTAACTATGGCAGCACTAGGATGTGTCCCACAGTCAGACATCTCAAACTGGGTGTCATCCACTCCAAAAGCTCCTTGTAAAGTGGATCCTATAGTGGCTTGTATAATGACCTGGAGATCAGTTGAATGTTCATTTCAAGGAAATTTATGTTAATTTTCATTGCGTTTGACTATTATTTAAATTTGAACAAAGAAGACACAAACAATAGACTGCACAATTTATTGCCTGGCATATTTCACTGTATCTCGTCAGGTGCATACTACAGTAACAATTGATTAAAATGAAGCAAATAGCTGAATCCTAGAAACTGAAACACAAATTTGAGTACATTCTAAACTGTGTTTGTGTCTTCTTTGTTCAAATTCACATTGGGGAAACACTGCTTTGATTATTTAAACAGTGGACAAGCACTAGTTTCAACAGTTATAAAACAGAAAAATTTTGCTACACTGGCCACATTCTGAGAAGAAACCATCAGAGAATCATCAAACAGGCATTACAATGGGAAATAAAGGGATTAGGGAGGTGAGGACACCCAAAAGAAAACCTAAGACAAACACTGATGAGAGAGGCTAAAGCAGCTGGACTGAATTCCATCTATGATATTGAACTGATAGAATGGAACAGAGGACTGCGAACCCTATGTGACATATAAAGACACAAGAGGATGAACAAATTATTCAAACACTGGGAATTTGTGCTTAAATTTGGCAGAAATATTCTCAGAATATCATGAGTCGGAAATACACTGACATTCCATAAAATCTGAATATCAAATAAAATAGCATCGCCTCTGAAATAATTCAGTCAAATTAACAAGCACAGTGGTTAAGAAAGAACAGTAATGGAAGGCATGGTTGCTCGAAAAAGATGTAGGAGTTGACCAGCACGTAGGTGGGGACAGGACATTAGAGGCACCTTAGGCATGAAAATATCTGAGGTGAAGGAAATGGTAACTGACCGTATTTATTACAGGCGGTCCATGATGGAAAGGCCTGACATGTCATTGGATGAATTGGGTGTCAAACGAGGAAAGTGGATTGCATTGAGATTGAGATCAGGAACATAATAGTGGTTTTCTGCCCAGGACATTCTGAGGCCCAGGATAATGAGCAGGCTGACAGATTTGCTGTTACTTTTCCTCTCAGCTGGGGAAGGGGGGGGGGGGGGGGGAAGGGGGGGGGGGGGGGGTTAGTGAACAGCTTTACAACAAAGCAGATGTGGTGAAGGGTCTCAAGGATCAAGTGAACAGTGCAACAATACAGACAGAGTATCCACATCTCAAGAGAATGATTCTGCAGAGAGTGAGCAGTTGATATGTGTGGTTTTGACACTGCACAGGAAAAGATTGGTGGATTTTTAAACAGGTTGTACCCAGTTTTTCATAGAATGCTTTGTTTCAAAAGGTAATAAATACACTACCCTGCTTATGTGATATTTAGAAAAAAAAAGTTTTTTCTTATCTGTGGTGACCTTTATAAGTCAGCTGGCACATTGTGTTGTAGTTTACAGCTAGACTGCAATATCTATTTCAGCCCAATACATCTAATTTCAGCACACCCTTTATTAGTCATCTTTTATTACATGCTGATAAGGGGGTACTAGAGTCCACACTTAGAACATCTGAATCTAAACCTAAAATAAATCAAATGACACATATACAATTCAGTAGTCAAAAACATTCATAAAGCAAGAATAATCTATTTTCTAAAATCTAATTTTACAAGACACACATTCACAGTGTATTGCTGTATCTTATTAGTAAGGTTATTATAAGAATTAAAATAAATAATTTCAGTTACCACAAAAGGTTTTCTAGTATAATCTCGAGATATGTTGACCTGTGCCAGATTCCAGCCATCATTAGTTGGACCATCTAGTTCCCACAAGTCAGCTTCACTGAGAAACACAGACATAGAAAGCACACTATGTGACATGTGAACTGTTCAGCTTCACTGAGAAACATACATAGAAAGCACACTGTGTGACATGTGAACTGTTCAGCTTCACTGAGAAACATACACAGAAAGCATACCTTCTGACATGTGAACTGTTCAGCTTCACTGAGAAACATACATAGAAAGCACACTGTGTGACATGTGAACTGTTCAGCTTCACTGAGAAACATACACAGAAAGCACACTGTGTGACATGTGAACTGTTCAGCTTCACTGAGAAACATACATAGAAAGCACACTGTGTGACATGTGAACTGTTCAGCTTCACTGAGAAACATATATAGAAAGCACACCATGTGACATGTGAACTGTTCAACTTCACTGAGAAACATACATAGAAAGCACACTGTGTGACATGTGAACTGTTCTGCTTCACCGAGAAACATATATAGAAAGCACACCATGTGACATGTGAACTGTTCAGCTTCACTGAGAAACATATATAGAAAGCACACCATGTGAAATGTGAACTGTTCAGCTTCACTGAGAAACATACATAGAAAGCACACTGTGTGAAATGTGAACTGTTCAGCTTCACTGAGAAACATACATAGAAAGCACACTGTGTGACAGGTGAACTGTTCTGCTTCACTGAGAAACATACATAGAAAGCACACTGTGTGACATGTGAACTGTTCAGCTTCACTGAGAAACATACACAGAAAGCATACCATCTGACATGTGAACTGTTCAGCTACACTGAGAAACATACATAGAAAGCACACTATGTGACATGTGAACTGTTCAGCTTCACTGAGAAACATACACAGAAAGCATACCATCTGACATGTGAACTGTTCAGCTTCACTGAGAAACATACATAAAAAGCACACTGTGTGACATGTGAACTGTTCAGCTTCACTGAGAAACATACACAGAAAGCATACCTTCTGACATGTGAACTGTTCAGCTTCACTGAGAAACATACATAGAAAGCACACTGTGTGACATGTGAACTGTTCAGCTTCACTGAGAAACATACACAGAAAGCACACTGTGTGACAGGCGAACTGTTCAGATTCACTGAGAAACATATATAGAAAGCACACCATGTGACAGGTGACTGTTCAGCTTCACTGAGAAACATATATAGAAAGCACACCATGTGACATGTGAACTGTTCAGCCGCACTTATTATAAATTACAATTAATGAACAAGAAAATATTAATTAGCATTATCCTTCACGGTTTTAAGCATTTATTTATTAGTTTTTTAAACTACTAAGTATAGAAATTTTACAGCATTTAAAAAAGAAAGGAAAAAAAGAATCGTTTTAAATGTAAAAATAATTATTTTCCCAGCACAAATATATTAGCAAGATTGAACCTCCAAAACTGACCCCCCTTCCCCATGTTGACCAACTCCCAATGTTGATCTCGCTCTCACTGATCAGGTGGTCTCTTCATAATCTTAATTTTGACCACTTGAAATATGACATCATCATCAGGTGCCTTGCTGACTGGCATGGGTGATCATGCTTCTCCACAGTCTGTGATCCGTCACTGGGTGTATCAGCAGCTCATGTGTTGACGCACTTCCATAACATGACAAAAGGCTGTTAAAAATCTTCTCGAGCTGTCTTCCTCTGTCTCTCTTTTCACAAATTTTTCCAGTGGTTACAACATGATCTAGATTTTCTCTTCTCATAACATGACCAAAAAATGATGACTGTCTCCTTCTGATGTCTGTGACAAGTTGTCTTCAGGCACCTGTCTTTTTCAAAACCTCTTGGTAGCTATTTTTGGTTGTTCAAGATATCTGAAGCATTCTTCTGTAAAACCATGTCTCTGAGGCCTCAAAAAATTGTTTGGCCTACCTACCCATTGTCTAGGACTCACAGCCATATGTTAAAACTGGATGTATGTAGCAAGCAAGAATTATCTGTCTAACCCTCAATGACAGAGATATATTACATAAGAGGTTCTTTTTTATATAAAATGTAGATTTTGCCTGTCCTATTCTGTTTATTATCTCAGTAATGCATCTTGCATCGGATGTTATCCATGTGCTCAAATACTTAAATTTCTGTACTTGTCCCAAAATAACACCATTGACTTTTATTACACATTTAGAAATAAATCTTTTCTTGAATTTTCTTGAAATATGACATGCAAAAGTAATTTGCCCTCTATAACTTGACAAACTAGTCTTAAATAGGGGTGTGTATGCATACTTTAATGGTTAAGCATAAATTTTTTTTAAATCCAGGAGCACCACTACAGTGAAAAAATTGAGAGTGAGGGGATTTAGATGCTTACACTTTGTTTAACTGTGTTACAATCTTCTTCTTCTTCTTTGATCCTTTTGTCAGAAAACTTATATTAGGAGGCCAGTAGCCTTTATGAAAGTTATCATGCTGTCCATATCTTCTCGTGTACCATATAGTTTTGTCTTCATTGTGGTTGGAACAGGCCAGATTGTGTCTCTGTTGTCAGCGTACAGTTGACAGTGTTGGAGCACATGCTCAGCATTTTCAGATGCAACGCTGCAGGGACACAAATCTGTGTTTCTACATCAAAAAGTTTGAACATATGTTGGCGAAGTCTGTTGTGCCCTGTCTTTAGTCTGAATATAATACACAGTCCCTCTCTAGAGAGGCGATGAAGTGAGTCTTGAGGAGAGAATTTGGTGTGGGTATCCAGCAACCTTTCTTGGATACTAGATTGTATTAATGTCTTAGTCTCTAGGTGGCTTAAGTTGCTATTTGGTTGTACCATGTCACTGCCACTTCTGGCTAATCTGTCCGCTATTTCATTGCCTTCCAAGCCACAGTGACCTGGAATACACCCCAGTCAGATTGTTCTACCAACCAGCCTAGGTGAATACGCTGTTGCGTCAAGTCTACAAACTGTGTGTCTTTTGGGTTGACAATTGCTTGAAGAACTGACATGGCATCTGTCAGCAATAATAATAGTTTCTGTTTTTTAGTATTATATTAAATAATATTTTAAAAATATATAAAAATGCTTCAAACAACAACATTATCAAGCTATATATGGTTAGCTAGGGTCACTTAGCCCCATGCAAACTTTCTGGAGGAGGGAGCTCAGTGCTACCCCAAAAAAAAAAATTGGGGGGGGGGGGTGACTCAAGATGCATGAGCTTCCATATTCTGGTGGCTGCTGTTTGAAGTTGTACATGTTAGTTAGTTAGTTAGTTAGTTAGTTAGTTGGGTTATCATCATTGCACTCCGGACATGTCCATAGGTGCTCAGATCCTCCCCTCAGTATGAACCCCAACGTCCGATGGCTAATAGTACCAGTTCTATGTTGATTAACAAGTCTTCTGACGTGTCCGGTGTGCGTCTCGTTTTTTGCTGTGCCGATCTTAATTCCCAAGTCTGCCATTCTGGCGAGTGATGTGGATTCACTGCTACCAAAGTCCTCTGTCCTTCCCATTTCTCTGAGGGCATTGATAATATCAGCATGATCCATAGGCCGACCGTCGGTAGTGATAGCGGATGCAGCCAACCTGTCAGCTCTTTCATTTCCATCGACGCCTGCGTGTCCCGGAACAAAAATAAAGGTGACTCCTCGCACAGTGGACTTCTGAATTGATTCAAGCCATTGTCTTCGCACTGAACCTGCCTGAACCCTCCGGATCATACTCATTGAATCACTGAGTATACATATGCGGGTGTATTTTTGTGTTTCAAGCCAGGCAAATGCTTGCGTCACTGCCATCACCTCCATCGTCATGCTGCTGGTTGTCATGGAGAAGGCGCCGTTGGCTTCTTTGACTGTTCTGCCCGCTGAGCGTGCTGTAAATGCCCATGCGCTTCTTCTTTGGCATATAACGGATCCGTCTGTATAGATTAGTGCATCTGCTTCGTCTGAATTTTCACCGATGAGAGCGTTGACCTCTGCATTAACAGCAACAGGATTCTCTTCTCTACATCGCCTGTTGAGTGTGACAATACAGGAAAATGTACAAATAAACGCCTGAGGCACAGGTATCCATTCTGCACCAGGTATGATGTCGGATAGGTGCATTAGCCTGACAGAATTTCACATCCTGAATCAGGCGCATCGTTATCAGTTTTGTCCCAACACTCGGGCGAGTGGGGTCTTTGGGTGTGGATATTCGGTCTTTTTCAGTTCAGTGCAAATTTTGATGGTCAGATTTTGATCCGTATGATCTAGTTTTGTCGGACATTTAGGCTTAGCCATCCGATGGATGGTTGCTGTTGTGGTGTACCCCAGCTCGGTGACGACGACACTGAGGGTTAACCGAGGATGTACGTGAATGGCCAGCCTATGGATGGTTGTTGTTGTGGTGCACCTCAGCGCGGTGACGACGACACTGAGGGCCAACCGAGGATGTACAAGGATGGCCAGCCTATGGAGGGTTGCTGTTGTGGTTGTACCTCAGCGCGGTGACGGCGACACTGAGAATTAACAGAGGATGTGCAGTGAGCAATGATCTCTTTACTCAGCAGTCTTTTAACCAAAGGTTGTAATTTTAGCTGTATGTTTGTCAACCCTACTCATGTTCCTAATGAGTTTTGATAACATTTTTCACCCAAGCGTTTGGGGGCGGGCTGATGAGAGCCACAAGGACACATCACCTCTGGGGGCCGCCAAACTCCGAGATCCCCTGACAGCTCTGTTAATGCTCATTTGAGACATTATCAGTGGCGCACGACGAGGACGTGCTGTAGGGGTCTTGCGTGAGGTTCCGTACAACCAGGATAGTAAAGGACTGGCGCCCGAGTGACGTACGGAGTATCTCCTTATACACGTCATGTTGGGCTTAACTTCCCCTCACGCCTGTGACATAAATCACCGCGCCACTCATAGACTATGAAAAAGCATTTGACAGCATCGATAGGAAATCTCTCTGGAAATTGATAGATGTAATTAATATTTGGTTGTTGTCAGTTAATTATTACTTATTAATTAGCTTTACAGAGTTAAAGTAAGTGAAGTAAAGATCCCTTTTTATGCCTTAGGTGCACACGGGCATATGGGAAGAGCATCCCATATTTTTTACAGGCCATCAGCACTAGGTGGGTAATGTGGTCAGCATTACGCCGGCCATCTTTTACTTCCCCAGGACATACATCCTGGTACCCATTTTAGGCTGGGTCAACATGCGACGCCCCATACATGGTAAAAATCCACGCAGCCAGCAGTGGGTTTCAATCGCAGTAAGTTGGAATTACAAGTCGGACTCATAAAGCCTAAGCCACAGACGCAGCAGAGTTCAAGTTTGTATACCTAAATCTATATTTAAGTAGAAAAAAGAAGTAAAAGAAAATGACTCTACTTGTATATGCTGCTGCTAGATATGCTGTTGCGAACAAACACTTTCAGCTGTCCAAGGTTGTTTCCAAACATGTAATACCAAAAATTAAAGCAATAAGAACTGCTTGAGCTTGCAAATACCTAGGAGAAGATGGAACAATTTAAAATCAAGAGTTACCTTATCATGGAGGTTTCATAGCGAAACCATCACAAATGATAAGTACGGTTTTGAAACTGACATATAATGATTGACACATAGAAATAATTAGAGAAAATTGGACTTACTAGACAAACAAACAAAAAATAATCCAAAGTGATAGTTACCATACGCTTGCTGTGGATCGGAAGGTCGTGGGTTCGCTCCCTGGCCGAGACTGACTTTTTTCAAAAATGACCTTGGCTCTCAGGTCGACCTAGCCTTGAATGGGTACTGGGTGCAGTCCTGGGAAGTAGAAGCTACCGGTGTGATGCTGACCACATCACCCATCTTGTGCCGATTGGTCTATAAAAATATAGGTCTAGCCCTATATGCCCATACGCCTAAAGGCGTGGAAAAGGGTCCTTTACCTTTACTCTACTTAATAGTTACCATGTCAGGAATCAAGTTTGTCACCTCCAAATAATGACAGCTTCTCACTGTAGAGCAAGTGTAATGTGATGCATGATCATGTAAACATACCTAGGATGCTTTATTTTTATTAACATTTTCACTTTGTTTGTTTGTCACACTGCTTCTATGGTTTTAAAGAGCTCCTCATCAGGCTTATCTAAACATGATAAGGAATTGAGAGTAAAATGTATTTTAAAGTTAAATATGGACATTTATTGCATGAGCATGTCCTGGTACCAACTGTCCCTTAATTTTAACTGACATTAAAATTCTGTGTAATGGTCGAACAGCTGCAGTTAATATTGTTATTAATACTGTTAATATCTTCTTCTTCTTCAGAGTTCCTACAAGGCCTTCATTGTTTTGTGCCCACTTACAGTATGGCTATGATATCGGTGCTTTCCAGTATATTCAAAACAATGTTTTCCCAATGTAAAATTAAACAGTGAGGACACAAACAATGAACTACACAATGTATTGCCTGGCATATTTAGCTCTATCTCATCAAGTGCATTACTAGAGAGTAAATCAACAAATAATGAAGCACAAACATGAATCAGTTAGTTAGCTGGGTTATCATCATTGCACTCCGGACATGTCCATAGGTGCTCAGATCCTCCCCTCAGTATGAACCCCAATGTCCGATGGCTAATAGTACCAGTTCTATGTTGATTAACAAGTCTTCTGGCATGTCTGGTGTGCATCTCGTTCTTTGCTATGCCGATCTTAATTCCCAAGTCTGCCATTCTGGCCAGTGATGTGGATTCACTGCCACCAAAGTCCTCTATCCTCCCCATTTCTCTGAGGGCATTAATAATATCAGCATGATCCATAGGCTGACCGTCAGTACAAAAATGAATCATTTTTGCTTAAATTCATAAATTGCATTGTCAAGTTAGATTTATAAAATCATAATTTCCAGTGGAGAGAATGTACAGTCTAACATGACAATGCACTTCAATGAATAAGACTAATGTTTTGTACTTCATTATATGTTGTTTTAACTCTTTAGTAATGTTCCAGTATATTGTTAAAAAATTAATTATAAAATCCGTATGAAGAAATGAGGCTACATCACAAACCTGACTGTACAGTCGAGCTACAGATCCTGCATTGTCTAATGATGCCTGGACAAACATGTAGTAACCAGTAGCTGACTGTCTTGTGTGATCAATTGCTGGAGCAAAACTTGCAGTTTTCTCGTAACTTCGATATCTTGTCCAGTAAAATTTGGAATCAGAGTCACCTCCCTCTTTGCTCCAGAGACAGACATCCTCTTCAAAATCACAGGAGTCTAAAATATTAAAATGACTAAAAGAGGTAATTCAAGCAACTCTGAATTTAGAAAAGAAGTTGGCTGGAAAAAAAAGATAAAAGCTTCAAAAAATTTAAAGTACACTATCATGATTATTTTATGGCTCAGTGGCCACATGTTCAAATCCCCATAAAGACAGATTTTCTAAATTTACACAGCTTTCAGCACAATCCAGCCTAAACCTGGATACCAGGAAAAGTTCTGAAAATATTCTTCTTCTGCATTCATCTGAAAATGTAATTGTATTGTGCCCACTTTACAGCATAGCTGTGATATTTGCACGTTTTAGCTGCACATCCAGCTTCTATAGGCATTTGTTGACCAGATTAGCATTCCAAGTTAGTTTTATTGGATATTGCCATCTCTCTGTTGTGTGGCCAACTTTGTTTTCTGGGTCACAAGTTGTGTCCCATGTCAGGCCGGTCCAGAGAAGACATATAATGCTGGTCAGTACTTAACTATTTGAGTCCCAAGGAACGCATCATACGTTCATAGAGTCCTACCTAGAGGCCCAATGAACGCATGATGCACCGATTTTACATCTCTCTTGACTACCCCTTGGGCCTGTGATGCTAAACCCCCTGGGACTCAAATAGTTAAGAGAAAGCAGGAGCAGAACATGAGCATTCATTAGTTCTAAAAGTTTCCCAGCCTGATGTTAATCACACCAATCAGTAAGCGCCGATTGGTCTTGGGGTTGAAGAAAACAACACACGAGGTGAGCACTAGTCTGTTGTATACACACAAAGGTATGAAACTGATTTCTTCACCTTCCATTAGTTTTTTTATTTATTACCCTCAAAGATTTACACTTAACTCTTTGAGTCCAAGGATTTTAGCATCAGAGGCCCAAGGGATAGTCAAAAGAGATGTAAAATTGGCGCATCTTGCATTCATTGGACTTCTAGGTGGGAACCTATGAACGTATGATGCATTCGTTGGGACTCAAAGAGTTAAGTGTGATCATGCAGAACAGTTAAAAACAGTAAACAGAAAGGCTCTTTCTTATGCTTTTAACCATATGGATTATTATCAAAAATAAGTTAGGTAGTTAACTGATCGATTATCCTCATCACACATCTAACAAGACCATAAGCAATTGGATCCCATCTTCAGCATTTCCTTCAGCACGCGGCAACTGATAACACCATTTCTGTGTTGATTTACTATTCTTCTTTGGCCATCTGCATAGTGTTTTATGTCTGGCAACACTTTTTTTGACATGAAATTCTGGTAGTCTTGTCAAGATTTCTGATACACCATCATCTCATGAATCATTCTCTTGTCCTGCCTCTTGAAAGCATTGCAAACATTGGCCTAGTATACACTGCTGTATACACACTAGGGTATGGCATTGATTTCTTCATGGCACTGCCCACTAGTGAATGTAAAAGTCCATTGCTTGTCCTGTACCTACCATGGTTTTGCTAACAAGCCAGTCCACTCATTCATTGTAACTTTACAGACTGTAATCCGATAATGAATAGAACTCAAAACTTAATATCTTTATTTGAGTTTGCAAGAAGTCTGTGCATACAGAATAAACTAAAAATTGACCACTAGTTACAAATGTGTGTATTCATACACCTACTTCTCCTATCACACATTTTTTTCCCATTCACACTGAAAATTATGAAATTAGGCTACAGCACAAATTTCATAATAGCGTCATGTCTTTTCAATGTATCACCGGGGTTAAATTTATTCTCTTAAATAGGCCATAAATCATTATCGTCATCATCAGCCTGAGACACGAGAGATGATTTAAAATAGGTTTTATTGTTTATTTTCTTAAATATTATTTATATTTCATCAGTTGTCTTCATGATCATTATTATTACGCATTCTCTGACTGACATGGGGTAGGAGTGAATATTTTAAGGGGTCATGTTGTTTACTTTCTTAGATAAGCCAGAAACCATCATGTTCTCTGTGTGACACAGATAATAAATGCTTTTCTTTTTTAAATGAATGCACTGTAACATTACAAACAGTTTATGCACTGTAACATTACAAACAGTTTATGCACTGTAACATTACAAACAGTTTCAGTAATGTCAGTTATAAATTCTAAAATGTATACTAGTATATGAAACCTGTTGGCTACCTACCGTCTGGCTCACATGCATTGTCATATATAGTGAGGTCATCAATTCCATAGTAGTAATCAACCTTGCTGCGTACGGCTTCAAATACTACCTAAACAATGAAAGTAATTAAACAATAAGTATTTAACACTGTAACTTCACTATTACTTATATGGGATATAGGTGAATTACTAATCTATCAGTCACTCTAGGACAAGTGTGTGAGAAAGCCACTGAGTATAATACCAAACAGAATATTGGGTTTATAGATCAGGAAAAGGCTTTTGATAGAGTGGAAAGAAACAAACTGTGGTCTGTTCTTGAGAACTACGGGGTACAAGGACAGTTACTTGAGAACATCATAGCCATGTACCACACAAGCCAAAGTGCAATAAGAACACAAGAAGGCATATCAGATATGTTCACAGTCAACACAGGTGTGAAACAGGGATGTGTGCTCTCGCTACTTTTATTTAACATTTATATAGACAGAATATCTAAAGACGCAAGTTCTGATACAGACAACATAGATCTTTATAATCATGAGGAAGTACACACATCAGGAGAAGTTATCTATTCACCTACATTAAACGAACTACTATTTGATGACAACCAATGCTTGTTCTACCCTGAAGAAGATAGACAGCAAGATAACATTAACAGGTTAAACTCATCATGCAGTAAATACAACATGAAGATCAATGCAAACAAAACCAAAACAATGCAAGTTAGTAGAACCCCTGCCCCACTACACATACAGCTGAATGGTTCTGCTCTAAATCACGTTAAGGAATTTAAATATCTAGGAAGTATGATCACCGAAGATGGTAGAATTGACAGAGAAATAGAAACCAGATGTCAGAAAGCAAGTGCACTTATATACCAATTGTCACCATTATTAAGACATCCAAGAATAACTACGAGTGCAAAGAGACAGATTAATAGCATATTCATTTCACATTAAGCTACCATTGCAAAACATGGACATATACGCAAAATCACCACCTGCGAGATGATGTGCCTGAGAAAAGCAGCCAACCTAACCATCCGATATCAAGTGAATAATGAAACTATTAGGCAAACTGTGGGAACGACACCTTGTACTAGATTCATTGAGAAACAGCAGATCAAGTGGTTTGGCCATCTCGTTAGAATGCAGCAAGATCAAATACCATCACAAGCACTACATCTCAGAAAATCAGCTCCAGAAAACATGGATCGACAACATTAAAGACACTCTACGCCTTCAAGGCATGACAATAGCCAGTGGCAGCCAACGTGCACTGGATCAGAAATTATTCCTCCCCACAACGCTTAACGGCAGAAGTGGTTTATGATGATGATGAATCTATTAGCAAAAATGTGTGAAATATTAAGAAACATGTACTATAACTATTTATTTAGCACAATTGTAACTACTTTCTATAGTTACTGCTTTTTTTTAAAAATAGGGGGATTAGGTCGGAGGTGCTAAGCCTTAGGATCTAGGGCCACATGCTGATGCCATGGACCAGTGAGGATTTTGTTGTTGTTGTTGTTGCTGTTGCTCCTGACAGAAAAATTCCATCTCTTTACCAAGGATTTGAACCTGGGTCTGATGAATGAGAGCCTAGTGTTTTTAACTATTCAGTTAGCTGCTTGTCAAGTGCCAGTTCAGCCTATGGCACTAGAAGGTGCCATAATTAGCAATTGCATGCCAAATTTATGAAAATTGTCTTGGTAAAGATTCGAACGCAAACATTATGGGCTGGTATTTAAGCATCTAGCCAATGAGCTGTCTATCTGTCTGATGCTAAGTAAAGCTTATGGTTTTTTTTTTTACTTTTTATTTTCATCCCCTAGTTAGCTCAGTATGCGTTGGGGATGGGCTGAGATTTAAAAAAAAATGTTTTCTCTCTTATTTGCATTGTATAAATTGTTCCTCATGTCTATAAGCCAGTTTTGGCACAAGATGATTATCATATTATGGACAGACCAGAGTGTGTCATTATTCTATGCCTTAAAACAGGACACAATCAACTTTGCCGCTACATGTATGCAAAATTCAAGATTGACAAATCAGCCATGTGCACATGTGGGTTAGCACCTGAGACAACAGATCTCGTCCTCCAAGACCATCCCAGGTACAAACATATCAAGGCAACACTTTTGGCCAAGAGAGACACTAGTGGAAGCCAAATTTACTGGTCACTGAGTGAATTATGAATAACAGACAGTAAAGTTCATACTAGAGACAACGCTGCAGATATAGAAAATCTGTTTCAAGCAAATGAAAGAAAAGAAGAAGAAGAAGTCTGTTCTTGGTGCCACCATTTAATCTTTTCCTATGCTGAGAGTAATTATTGTTTGTATCAAAGATCGTTTTTCTTGACTAAGTTAAGCCTTAAACATTAAACATTAAAAAAAATTTTTTGAGTCTTCCAAAAACAGATGTTTTATGGAATAAATATAGCTCCAGACACAGTACAAGCAGGGCTATATAATATATAATCTTACAATATTCATATAGAAAAAAAATAGAAATGAGCTCACACGAAAATTAGTGGACACAAGAATTGGCACATGAGCCTTCTTCCACCCAGGGCCTGCATCAAAATCCTGAGACCAGAGACGCATACTCTGTGTCAGTGAATCTTGCTGTCCATCTGCAGCAATGTAGACATTCAACTGTCCAACCTGCTCACCCTGAAGTTAAAAAAAGCAAATAAATAGCAAAAAATGTAAATGTATAGCAACATGCACAATTCTTATTTCATGTTTCTTCATATATTTCACTCCTCAAAGCTAAATTCTCTATAAATATAATTTATCATTTACTTAACCTGCTAACAAATAAACTGATGATACATTATTAATTGCAGTCAATGAAATGATTCTGCAGCATTAAATGGATTAAGTAATTGTCAGCTAGGAGAAACTATGATTAGAAATATATTTAAGAAAACCAAAATTATTGTCATGTTCAAGAAGTAAGAAATTCCACCATGTAATGTCCAAGTGTTTAACATCAACAATTGTGGAACATCATAAGAAAGATGGGATTTCACACAAACATGATCCACTTAACTGAAAAGCTGGATCATGAACAACAAGCACCTGTTTGAGTAGGCGGTGAAACATGCATACCATTCAGGCTAAACAGCATGAAGAATTTCTGGCACAGCCCCTGCAAGCAAGAATTAAGATCATGCATCTTTTCCATGGTAACTTATGTATGTGAGTCATGGAATCTCACTCAGTTTTTGAAGGAGAAAATCGAAGCTTTTGACCTGAAATGCTACAGAAAGATCTTAGAATAAGGACCAAGAAAAAGAAGAAACCTGTTGACATCCTGCATGACCTGAACATGAAGGAAAATTGGCTCATTAGCAGCATCCTCTCCCAGAAGCGGAGATACTTGGACAAGTCAAGCACCACGATGGTCTGGGGAGAAGAGTGATGAAGGGTGCCGTTTCTGGAAACGAGGCAGAAGCTGACCTTCATGAATGTGGAAATATGACACTCAAGATGCTCACAAATGTGATGTCCATAAAAGTCTGATAAATGGTTTTCTCAATTTGACATTGTTAACAGTCTTAGCTGTACATAACTTCTTCATATAGTCCATGCAATAACACTGGTAGTCATGCCCATCCACATCCTTCTGTTTTGTGTACTTTCAATCAATTCTGACACAGATGATCTTCCATGTCATGATGTCAACTGTCCAGCATCTTCTCTCTCAGTTGACAAAATTACAGGACAATAGCAGGATATTTAGATTTCTACCACAACATAAGTGACCACTGTAGTGTAGTAGCTAAATATACACCAACAGGTTTGCCTCCACAATAAGTCTGCACCTTTTTCTAATAATTGAGCTTGGCTTCATGGCTGATCTTGTCTAAAGTTTGTACCAGGAAATGTACAGGAAAGCAGAGACGACCAATGAGATGTTGATCCACATTATCCACTGAGTGCTCCTTGATCTATATAAACATGAGCTTAGCATCATATGCTCGCTGCGTCACCGGGTGTAAAAAGAGCCCTTTACCTAATTACAAAAATGCTGATTAACATTTGAAGTCCCTCTTAAAATTCTTGTAAAAAAACTTACATTCATGTGATAATAAAACTCCAAGCACTTCTGTTCTCCATTGTTTGCTGCAAATGCTGGACTGATAATTCGAGCTGTTGCATTTTCTGTCAGCTGATTGCCAACCTGTCCAAACAACAAAACTGGTGTCACACATTTAACAAACAAGATACAACATGGAAATTGCAGATTCAGTCTCTTCAATAATAGGCAAACATGTAACTTAGCCACGTAGATCATGTAAAGGATCTTTCTTCACACATTTATCAAACAAGATGCAACATGGAAATTGAAGATTCAGACTCTTCAATAATAGGCAAATAATGTAACTTAGCCATGTAGATCATGTTAAGGATATTTCTTCACACATTCAAGCATACTAAGCACATGGCGCTCCATCACTCAATGATCATTATCATATCCAGAATATATATGGACTAGTTAGCTACAGTGACATAATTAACTTGCCTGACATGACATTCTCTGGGTTCCTGATTCAGTTCTCAGTAGAGAAAGGAATATTTTTACTGACTAGAATAGTATTAAGGCTGATAAGAGTCTAACAAAAATAAGTAGCAACAAAAATGTAATAATTTATGGGAATTATTGGAAAGGAGAAGCCGTGAGAACAAAAACTCTTTACTTAACCTTGTATATCAAGGCCTAGAGCAAGGCTATTCAACTAAGTTTACGAAGGGGCCAGAAATGTGAAAATAGGGATCTCCATGGACCTCAGGGCAGAGCCCCAGCATAGACAGGTCATTAATACAATACAACCGGCAATGATCTGTAGGCCACTTGCTAGACCTCCAAGGGCCAGATTTGGTCTTTAGGCCACCAGTTGAATATCCTGGCCTAGAGTATGTCAAGGCCTAATACTTTACCCCCCAGGACTCCCTGTGTGGGTTTGCAGGCCCTATTACAGGGAAAACAAGAACAGACCCACTGCCTATCCAAAGCCTATCTCCTTCGCAGACCCACTGCCTATCCAAATCCTTCGAAGTCGGAGTAGGCTACATCTGCCTGAGAGGCAAGGAACCAGCACTCTGCATACAAATGTCAGATCTGTAAAATGGATGCACATACAACACTCAGTTCTGGAAAAGGACTGCAGTCAAGGAGGGGACGAATAACCAGAACTTTCTGTCGGAGTTTACAGCTGGTGAACACAAAGAAGAAGAAGAAAAAGACTTCCCAGGACTTGACCTGGTACCAGGTACTGGTGGGTCGACCAGGAGCCAAGCTAATTTTTAAAGAGGAAAAAAAGGCCATGATCTGAACCCATGATCTTAGGATACACAAGAGATAGTCTAGCTGCTACACCAAGGTGGCTACTGAAGCCATGATCTTAGGATCCACAAGAGATAGTCTAGCTGCTACACCAAGGTGGCTACTGAGGCCAGAAGTGCCGGACTGAATTCCATCCATGATATTGAAGTGACTGCACCAGACAGAACTGAATGGAGGAATAGACCTAAACAATATGTGACACATAATGGCACAACAGGAAAATGATGACAATGATGATATTCTTCATATTTATTATCATGGCAAGTCATTATATTGGCAAACATGAGCGTAGATGAAGCCATTACTGCTGTTAGATGTGTGGCCATTGAAAGGTTTCAGTGTGTTAGAGACTGGCATGTCCAAACTAGCTGTGACCCAAATATTGTCAGAAACATCATTTTGAAAACCACATACAGCAACATCATCAAAGTCACACTTTTCAAGAATGACTGGAGAACTCTGGTTACTAGTAAGAGTTGTTGGTGTTGCCACTGTTTCAATAACTTTAGCTGCTAATGGCTGAACTGAAGAAGAAAAAAATAAGACAAGTTATACATTTATCTCTATCTCGCAACAACAAGATCAAAATATATAAAAGGTTGATAAGACCAGTCGTTTTATATGGCTCTGAAACTTGGAGCACAACTAAAAGAGATGAAGCCTCATTACACATTTTCGAAAGCAGAGTATTAAGATGAATCTTTGGACCCATCAAAAATGCAAACAGAGGGGAATGGAGAATGAAAAGCAACAATGAAATTCATAATCTATTTAAATCACCATTGATCACTAACATTATGAGATCTAATAGACTGAAATGGCTTGGGCATAATGAGAGAAAGTAAAATGACAGAGAAGTAAAAACTTTATACACCAGGGAGAAGATTGGTCGTATACCACGAGGCTAACCAAGAAGACGATGGAGAGATAACGTCCAGACAGACCTGCAAACACTTAGTGTCACCAACTGGAAAGAGAAACCAACCAGAGAGATGAATGGAGGCGAGTGATACCTGCAGCAATGAACCTTAAGGATTTGGAACGCTGAAGAAGAAGAAGAAGACATATTTATACAATCCCTAATGGTTATTCTTGCAGCTTGCATTACACAGGAAAATGCAATCTGACTTCAAAGGACACAGCCCTAATAAGGTGACTTTTACAACATGCTTGTAAGGGGGACAAAGGGTCTGTTCTCTATTTCCACCATATGCAGCTCAAGAACACACACAGGGAATTTGCAAGCGAAGGAAAAGTTGACTTGTTGCAAGTCAGCTGTGTCTTCTTCAACTTCTGCATTAGTATTTAAAAGGATGGTTAGTACAATATGTTATGGTTTACAGCTAGGCTGAGATATTAGTGTCTTTCAGACCAACACATCCAGTTTAAACAAATCCTTAGTCACCTTTACAACATGCTTATCAAGGGGCAGTGAGCCTCTTCTCTTCCTTACTGCAACCCAATTCATTGTGAAAGTTATCCTTTCATCTACCGCCATCCACACACACATAGTTCCCTCGGCCTAGTAGACAAACAGACTGGTCATCATCTCTTGTGATGGACTAACAACAGCAGCAACAACAAATCTGTAATCATAATCACATTTCTTCTTCGTCTTCGTGCTCACGGGCTGTAAACTCCAGCAAAACATTCTGGTTGTTTGTGCACTTCTAGACTTTTAAGTCTTGCGACAAAACTTGAGTTTTGCATGCACATCTGTTTTACAAGATCTGGCTTACTTGTATGTAGACTGTTGGTTCCTTGTCTCTTAGGCAGATACACTTTGATCTCAAAGTAAGCCCCTAACTGGCTGAATCTCACAAGATTCTTCCTCTGGAAGTAGTGACTCTGCTCTTGCCTTTCCCCCCAATAGGGCCCCAGAACGCACCAGGGATATAGTCATATTTAAAAAAACAAGACATTGTTGTAAGCTGGACCTCCACTTACTGTCGCAAGGGTCAGGCATAAACATAATGTCATCTATTGCAATGTCACTGGTCACTGAGAAGCCAAGTACACCTTCAAATCTGACCTAAAGGTATACAAAAGGTAAAGTTACCATTACAGATACAGCTATTGGTAAGTGCAATTTTGTAACAGTACAGGTTCCATAAGAGATTGCTAAAATGTTACATAGAACCTGTTCTACTGTATGACAGCGAATCTCGGAATGTCAGTGAACAAATTAGGAAGAATTTGGAAGCAGCAGAGGTGTGGTTTCTGAGACGAATGTTACAAATACCTTGGACAGCCAGAGTAACTAATAACAATTGCTTGAAAGAAGCTAATGAGAGTAAATCTCTATATTCAACAATAAGAAAGACAAACTGTTCTTTGGCCACATAATGAGAAAAGAGACATTGGAGAACATAGTGACAACTGGAAAGATTAGTGGGAAAAGGGGTAGAGGCAGACCAAGAGAGATAATGCTGGATGGGCTGAAACGATGGCATGGAGGGATATCACCAAGAGAGCTGTTTCAGGCAACCAGGGATCGTGATCTGTGGAGACGCATGAGCACCTACGCCAGTTGGCAGGGCACATGATGATGATGATGACAGGTTCCATTTCTATGCCCTAACTCATTCAGTCCCACACAACTCCACAACAGATGCCTAAAGAGAATAATTGCCATAAATGTATAAGTCATGAGTGAATTACTTTCACTGATGCATCACATATGTACTTTGTATAAAACATATTGTATGTTGAAACAACTTGCTAAATTTCTAGATCATTCATCACATGAAATACATTTGCAGATCATGCAAGATACACACAGCCTGGGACTAAAAGAGTTCATGCCTGTTTGATATATGTGGCTAGCTTCATAAAGGCCATGTGGCAATTGGTGGATGAATATTATGCCAGCTATTTTTGTAACTTCCCTGGAAGCTTCATGGTTCTCATTTTCATTTGGAATGATTACAAACACCACATGGAATGAACTATAATAATAATAAGATTTTAAAGCGATACATGTTTTAGCAGACATATACACACTATTTCAGAAAACCTATTTACACACAACAAGAGTTCAGTAAAATTATTCACAAGTTACACATATAACTTGTACACATGCAAGAACTAAATATTTCATGCTTAAGTAAGACAGGAGAATTACAATTATAAATCAAACCTTGAAGATAGACAGTATTTAAAATGAAATGAGACATCCAACTACTTTAGATAAAGAACAAGATACATTATTCTTTATTTATTTATTAACTTTAAAAAGAAAAGAGTCGACGATCAGTGCAGTACCATGGTTTGCACAGGTAATAGGATCTAATAGCCTTTTAACAAAAGTAACTAGTTTTAGTACAAGGAAGAATCAACGCGAACCTACGGGTATTTAGCCAGACAAAAACACAGGCCTTTCAGAATATTGATGTTTTGTTTGTGTCATTGATAAAGATCAAAGTATAAAAGATCTAGGCCCAGAACATGACTGATTAGACCAGCCTTAAATTTGCAGACACCAAGTTCCATGCATCTCAACAATCATGAACAGACCTGATTGAACATTCAAAAGTAACTTTGTGACCCAAAGATACTTACTGTTATAGGACTACAGATAGAGTTGTGGTTGTGATGCTTTAAGGAAAAAAATGTAGTAATGATCTTACTGCATAAACAGGGCAATGATTATGATACTTAAAAAAGTCAAAAAATGCACTGATGATGTTATTGTATAGTAAATGAAAGAATGGTGTTTTGACATAGAAAACATAAGAACAGTGTTATTACATTATAGTTTACAAGATGACTTCCCACTGTCACCAAGGCTGACTTCCAACCACTACCTTGATCGCCCGATAGAGACCATTCTTGTACAGAGCTGACTGAGTCTAGTGGAAGGGTGTACACATTCAGTGTGCCAACACTAGAACCACTCATGTAGTAGTGGAAGTGAAGGCATTGAGCTCCCATGGGAAAAGCCTCAGAATCCAGCCAGGCTTTATCTTGGTAGTGGTAAGGACCACTGGAGTCAATGTACATGTAGTACCCTGTGATCACATTAGAAAACATAATGATTTTTTAAAAAAGTGGTTCAGGTTTTTATAGGACTACAGATAGAGTTGTGGTTGTGATGCTTTAAGAAAAAAAAATTTGTAATGAATCTTATTTTTATGCTTTAATGTTATGATACTATAGTAAAAATTTTGATGTGTGTTGTATAGTTGTGTGAATATGGTGTTTGTGCATAGCACGTGTGTGTGTATATGTTGTTTTTAGTTTTTCATCATTTTCTGACAATGGCTTATCACTGCAATATTCTTTGCTAATTTACCTGTGCCCGTGAGATTTAAAGCTGACTGAAATGAAAAGGTCTAACATTCAGTGTGCGAATAAGAACCAGACTGTAGTACAGGAAGTGAAGGCATTGAACTCCATGGGAAAACTGTCAGAAACCACACCATGTTTAGTGGTACAGGACCACTGGACATTCAATGAATGAATCCTGTGATCACATTAGAAAACATCAGATTTTTACTGAAAAGTGGTTCAAATTTATATCATTTTATTTGTCAATTGTTTAAGAAGCTCAGGATTTAAGGCAAGAGGAAGACCAAGGAAACTGTGGATTGACGGGGTCTCCGAAACCTGCCAAAAGCATGGCCTTAGAACATCAGATGCTGCCCGCCTTGCTTATGACAGGAACTTGCATCTCCCCACAACGCTTAGCGGCATACGTGGAAGGAAAAAGTAAAGTAAAGTAAGTGTTATTTAAAGCTGATATATACAAGTGTTGGTGTCTGTGGCTTAGGCGTTTCAAACACACTTCGTAATGCCGGGGTGCCCGGTTCGATCCCCGCTGCCGGCAATTTGTCTTGTGCTGGTTTCGACAGTGGTACTGAGAGCTGACCGTTCAGGAGCAATGGCAAACTACTGAACATAAAATTTGCCTAGAAAAACCACAACAGCCAAAAAAATGCTGGGGTTGGTTCTGCAACGTCCTGTAAAGAATATGCAACTAACTTATATACAAGTACTTTGTGTTTATTGATATTCTATTCTTGCTCCTCTTGTCCTGCCAACTGCTCATGACTGGAAGTGTTGCAGAGAGGAGTTAGATGTAGTTTCATGTCTTTTGCTAGTCACGTAGCTTGTGTTAATTTCATATTTGAGCTTTTATAGTGTCTTGTTTACTCCATCCACCCATCTCTTCCTTGGTCAGCCTCTTGCTTTGTAGCCTGCTGTTCTCATGTAGTGCACTCCAGCTGCTGGCTGATTTTGTTCCATTCTGATTCTTTGATGTTTATTGGCACTGTGCCTGCCATTGTTCCTAGTATTTCGTTGGTGACTCTGTTTTCTTTATTGATGGTACCATTTACAAAAAGTAATGAAACGGTTTAATATTAAGCTGTAAAATATTGATTTCCAGTAAATAAAATAATTGTAAGAGTTTACCATCAGAAGATCCTATTGTACTGTCAACAGCTGGACCTGTTATACCAACTGTCTTTCCTGTCCCTCTTATCCAATAAAAATCAGCCCCACTTATCAATGAATTCTGCCACGTGCACATGTCTCTTTCAAATGAACAAGCTCCTGTTGAAAAAAACATTTTCTTTTTAATTAAAAAAAAAAAATATTGAGAAGTCCTCTTCACAAGCATTTCCTACTCTGGAGACTAGAGATGATTGTTCATCATCATCATCATCATCATCATCATCATCATGAATTGTGCCAGTAAGCATCAGCTTCATTTTTTGCCATCTCGCACGATCAACAGAACCACAGATTTGGTCAATGTTCTGGTCTTGGGTCGGTCTCTCATGGGAGTCGCCGTAGCAGAGCGGCTAGATGCGCGCCGCGGATCAGAAAGTCGTGGGTTCGCTTCCTGGTGGAGCCGGACATTTCTTCAAAATTGACCTTGGCTCCCAGGTCGACCTAGCCTTGAGTGGGTACCGGGTGCAGTCCTGGGAAGTAGAGGTGGCCGGCGTGATGCTGACCACACCACCCATCTTGTGCAGACTGGTCTATAAAATATAGGTCTAGCCCTATATGCCCTATAAGCCTAAAGGCGTGGACAAGGGTCCTTTACTTTTTGTTTACTTACTCTCTCTCATACTTGCTTTCTCTCGTACTCAGTCGACCCAGATCGTTGTCCATGTGTTACTTACGTAGAATAAATGAGGCAGACTATCTTCCATCAACGATCACACGACTCCAAATGATAGTTGACGATGACAATGACTAATTCCAGATTTATTCCATCTCTAATATACAATAAGAAGCAATATGATAATCGAACTTACGCTATCCAGGCAAGGACCATTTGCTCCCACATTTGGGCACACATCCACACCACATTTAATGCTGACCTACACACAGTCGATACAAGCAACACTTAACCGGACACTGCCATTGTCCTCAAATAATGCTTCAAAGTAGAACTACCACAGTCACTTCACTCAGGATTTACTTTCATTCGGAACTCTCTGGGGTCCTGTCACAGAATGATCACCACGTCAGCAATTCCCCCAGATCTCCTGTTCACATGTGAATTAACTAATCCTGTATTTTTACCATGACTCTCACTGTAGGGACTTCTCCAGCTCTGTCAGTCAGTCATATCCTGACCTTATCCCTATAGCATCATTACACATTCCATGTGGCTAAGCCATCTAGGTATTTATCTGTTTGCCTTCCTCTTGCTCTCTTTCTATCAATCTTACTTACTTAGTCACTCCTCTTCTACCTAGCCTCCTTAGGATATTTTCTCCAGGTCATACTGGTATGTTGGGAAATGAGCAGGCAGATAGACTAGCTGGCTCTGCACCACTTGGTGGTAAATTACTGTATGACAAGTTAGATATTGTGAGGCCCCATTGGGAACTGGTGAACAGTGTGGAGGCACAGATAGATCATTACGGTCTGAGGAGAATGGCGCTGCAAGGGGTTAACAGGGGATCTGGCCGACGCTCAACACTCAGGGAAAGGATGAGACAAATATACAATCAGATGGTTACTGGTACCATCGGAATTGGAACTCTTCATTTGCTGCTGAAGATGGAGATTGAGCACTTATGGGAGCGTCCCTAGTGCTGTGATGTCTCCATTTCAGTCTAATACAACTCCAAGGTATTTGAACTGGTTGACCTGCTCCAGTGCATACTGTCCCATCATGATCTGGTGTTTCTTCTCCTCTCTTGAGATCACAACGGTTTTATTTTTTGGAGATAGTGATAATGGTCATCCCTCTCTTCTCAAGCTGTTCCTTCCAGACAAGTAAGTTGGATTGAAGATGTCCCTCTGATTTAGCTATCAGGGCCACATCGTCTGCAAATGGCTGCTCTGATATACTGACTGGTCTCACCTTCCAGCACCCTACTGAGTAACTCTTTGTCTTTTCTTTACATGTCTTGATGACATCATCCATCATAAGAATGAAGAGATAAGGTGAAAGAATTTTTTTTATTAATGTATCCAGAAACCATGAGTTGTTAACCCTTTGGCTCGGTACTATGGATATCACAACCCTTCAGCCTTGATGCCATGATAGATACCGTAAATCTAGGAGAAATGGGGCTTTTCTGCCTACCCCAGGGTGTGAACTCAGACCATAAGGAGTTCATCGCCCAGTCATCAAGCAGTCAGGTTTAACCAACTGAGCTCGCAAGCTGAGCATGAGAGAATATCACCTTGTTTAGCATTGCTAGTGGTCTTAAATTCTTCTGACTTTTTGTCTGCTCTTCTTACATAGTTTCTGCATCTTTTGTAGAAACTACATTTGCTCCAGGGTACCTTATTAAATGCCTTTTCTCGATTAAAAAAAAAAAAAAAACCACAGGTACAGCCCACTCTTATATTCAAAGGCTTTTTCACTCATCTGTCTGAGTGTGAAGATAAGGTCTTGAGTACTTCAGTTTGCTCCGAAGCCCCAGTGGGCCTGATCCTGCTGTTGTTCTTCCAGACTTCATAATCTCACCTCGAGAATTCTAGAGTAACCTTTTGCAAGGAATGCTGAGGAAAGATATGCCTCTGTGGTTTTCACAATGTCTGTTAACTTTTTTAAACATAGATGGCAATCTCCCAATCTTTTGGTTTAGTTTTGCTACACCAGGCGGCCTGGAGAACCTTCAGGAGAAGTCGCACACCTGCCTCTCAAATATATTTGACAACTCTGGCATTATACCATCATGTTTTGCTGATTTTCCCAGGTTAATCTTCTCATTAGCTGCCTTAAATTAAAACAGGTGATGTATTAATATCACAACAAACACATTTATTTTCATTCTCAAAGGACTGAGCATGCAGGAGAATCCTCATGTGCAGTGATGTTATTTATGATGCATATCTTTTTTTGTTAGTTAGATGTGTATCCTTTACACAATATTGTGGAACCAATCCCAGCATTTTATGGCTGCTTGTAAATTCACTAGGCAATTTTACAATCACTAGTTTGCCATTGCTTTTGAGCAATCAGCTCTTGATACCACCATCAAAACCACTACAAAGCGGTCTTTCTGTAAACTGACGTAGCATCAGATTTACTTCTAAGAACTGTCTGGTGCATATTTTAGGCTGGATTAACCTAGAAGTCTAGTTCAATTAAAACAACCTTGATATGGTTTCATCACATGACTAAACAGCCACCAGGCAATAAAGATATCCACTATGTTAACAGAACTGGAAAGATTGCATGGAATAACACTGACTGTCTTAAGACAAAATAGTTTACAAGCATGGCTTCTGAGGTCCCAGATAGTTAAATCCTTTGGATAGTTTCTCCAATGATGCCTGTGTGTTGGGAAATGAACAGGCAGGAATAATGGCTGGTTCAGCACAACCTGGTGATGAACTGATGAGCTGGATGTCCTGAAAGGGCTGTGGGAACAAGTGAACAATGTGGAGGCACAAACAGGTTAGTACAGTCTGAGAGGAATGGTGCTGCAAGGAGTGACCAGGGGATCTGGCCAATGGGAAAGCTA